CTTATATAACCCATAATAATAGCCCAAGTATTTATTATAAGTTCCTAATAACGTTACTATAATTAAATAAAAAGCTATATTAAAAATAGCGTAGGCGTAGCTCACTTACAGCGGGTTTTATAGAAAACCGGGCTTTGCTTGGAGCAGCGTTCCCGAGCCGAAAAGCTCTTCTTCTCGGAGCCTTCGAGCACTCCGGGGCTTCCGCCTCGTGCTAGGGAGGTTCCCTAGGCTTTTCGGGGGATTTCGGGGCTAGAGAGAGGTTCTAGAGAGAGAGAGAGAGTAAAGAGAAGAAAGAATGGGAAAGGTGTGAAGAAAATGAGGGTGGGAGAGGTGGTATTTATAGGGTGAAATGTGGCTGAACTTGGTGCCACATGTCACCATCTGGTGGCAAGCCTTGGGGAGAAAGCAATGGCCAAGATTGTGCCACATCACCCATTTTCGCACAGCACACTTCCGACTTCTAAAATCCGTAACTTTCACATACGACCTCCGTTTTTGACGTTCTTTATATCCACGCGTAGGTAATAATAAGATCTACAACTTTCATTTTGACACCGTCAGCTAATTCTCGACCGATCTTAAATTTAACAGTACAAGGAGATTATACTGTTAAACGTCTGCGTAAAATTAATAACTTCTACATACGGACTCTGTTTTTGTCTGTCTTTTTACCGTTGATTTCCTATTAATGAGATCTTCAACTCTCATTTACGTTGCGTAAGCCAAAAACCGCTCGAACTAAAATTCGAGTTTCAGGCCGTGCACTGCTAAGCCGAATCTTAGAAAAATCATAACTTCTTCATACGAAGTCAGATTTGGGCGTTCTTTTTATCGATGTTCTTAGTTTAACATATTCTACGACTTTTGTTTAGATTGCTAAGGCTAAAAAGTCTTCTATCGTAAATTCACTATTTACGTCTCCCGGTGCCGTGCCGGTTTTGCCGTAAAACTTCGGCGGGCCATAACTTCTTCGTTATAGCTCGGATTTCGGCATTCTTTATATGTACGGAAACCTTGAGACATATTCTACAACTTTATGTAGAGATATCGGGATTATCTCACACTTTAATTTTGACGCTCATTTTTATTCTTTATTAATTATACATTTATAATTAAATAATAAACACATAAACACACATAATTCACATAATACTCAAATATTTCATATTTATTACTTCAAAAAGAGTTACAATAGTTGACCTAGACTATTACATTGACAAAAATGCTTAGCCCTGAAAACCCGGGCGTTACAATTCTCTCCCCCTTAGGATGATTCCGTCCCGGAATCATGCATCAGCAAACAGATGTGGATAGCGACTCATCATGTCATCCTCTGTTTCCCAAGTGAGATTCGGCCCATTCGAATGTTTCCATCGGACTAGCCAAGTCGACCATCTTGCGTCGTAACTTCTTAGTCTTACGGTCAATAATTGCCTCAGGCTCTTCGATCAGCCTTTTATTCTCATCCATCCTTAATTCCGAGATTGGAATTATGTCGGGAACATCTCCCATGAATTTCCTCAAATAACACACATGGAAGGTGTTATGAATACCATTGAGTTCTTCGGGCAATTCCAGCTTGTAAGCTTGGTTCCCAATCTTCTGAAGAACTTTGAACGGTCCAATAAACCTTGGACTCAACTTTCCTCGTTTCCCAAATCGTATAAGTCCCTTCCACGGTGAGACTTTAAGTAAAACGGAATCCCCAACTTCGAAGGTTATCGGTCGTCTTTTCTTGTCAGCATAGCTCTTCTGACGATCCTGAGCTGCTAACATTCTTTCCCTAATCACCTTCAATTTCTCAGCAGTCTCATGGACTATCTCGGGGCCCATAAACTGCTTCTCTCCGGCTTCAAGCCAACAAGACGGCGTACGACACTTCTGTCCATACAAGGCTTGATAAGGTGCCATCTTGATGCTCGAGTGAAAACTATTGTTGTAGGAAAATTCTACTAGAGGTAAGTGTTCGTCCCAATTCCCTTGGAATTCGAGGGTACATGCTCTCAGCATATCTTCCAACGTCTGAATCGTTCTTTCGCTCTGACCATCAGTTTGCGGATGGTAAGCAGTACTCAAACACAACTTTGTACCCAACTCCTCTTGTAGACTCCTCCAAAACCTCGACGTGAAACGACTATCACGATCTGACACAATCGTAAGAGGGACACCGTGAAGTCTTACAATTTCCTTCACGTAAGCATTTGCGAGCTTATCCATAGACCACTTCTCGTTGGCTGCTATGAAGTGTGCACTCTTGGTGAAACGATCCACGACTACCCAAATCATGTCGTGTCCGTTCTTCGTTCTGGGCAGTTTAGTCACAAAATCCATGGTGATGTCTTCCCATTTACCCATGGGTACAGGTAAAGGTTCTAAACTCCCATACGGTTTCTGATGTTGTGCCTTAACCCTCGCACATGTTACACACTCAGCCACATACTTCGCAACATCGAGCTTCATCGTCGGCCACCAGTAGTAGGGTTTTAGGTCCCTATACATTTTAGTGCTACCGGGATGAATCGAGTACATGGTCTTGTGTGCTTCTTCCATTAGAAGATCTCTTATTCCTCCCGTCTTAGGTACCCAAATTCGATCTTGGAATACCTTCAGTCCTCGACTGTTCGTACCGAACACTAACGTTTTTCCCAAACGTTCTTCCTTTCGGTCATTCTTTTCTAAGGCTTCTTCTTGAGCTTTCCTGATACTTTCCACAATCGTCGAGACGACTTCAATTCTTAACGCTCTTGGCCTTTTCTTTCAAGATTGACTTTCCGACTGAGAGCATCAGCAACAATATTTGCTTTACCTGGGTGGTAAAGTATCTCACAGTCGTAGTCCTTGAGAAGTTCTAGCCAGCGTCGTTGCCTCATGTTCAACTCCTTCTGATTAAAGAGATACTGGAGACTCTTATGATCAGTGAAGAGCTTGCACTTCGTGCCGTAGAGGTAATGCCTCCATATCTTTAAGGCAAATACTACCGCTGCCAACTCCAGATCATGAGTGGGGTAGTTCTTTTCGTGCTCTTTCAATTGTCGAGATGCGTATGCTATCACCTTTTCTCTTTGGGTCAGAACACAACCAACCCGACTCCAGATGCATCACTATAAACTGCGAAATCTTCGACTCCATCGGGTAGAGAAAGTATCGGTGCTTCACATAACTTCTTCTTTAGCTTCTCGAACGCCTCATCGTGTTTCTCACTCCATGTATACGTAGCTCCTTTATGGGTCAAAGCTGTTAATGGAGCAGCTATCGAAGAAAAGCCTTGGATAAATCGTCGGTAATATCCGGCTAATCCTAGAAAGCTTCGAATCTCCGTGGGACTTCGGACGTTCCCACTTCATTACAGCCTCGATCTTGGCGGGGTCAACCATTATTCCTTCTGGTTAACAACATGACCCAAGAATTGGACTTCCCGTATCCAAAAGTCGCATTTGGAGAACTTTGCAAAAAGCTTCTCCTTCTTTAACACCTCCAACACTTCTCGTAGATGCTTGCCATGCTCCTCCTGGCTTTTCGAGTAATGAGAATGTCGTCGATGAACACTATCACAGATTTATCGAGGAATGGTTTACAAACCCTATTCATCAAATCCATGAATGCTGCGGGAGCATTGGTTAGTCCGAATGACATAACCAAGAACTCGTAGTGTCCATATCTTGTTCTGAATGCAGTCTTCTCAATATCCTGCTCTCTCACCTTCAGCTGATGATATCCTGACCTAAGATCGATCTTTGAGAAGTAGCTCGAACCTTGCAGCTGATCGAATAGTCATCAATCCTCGGCAATGGATACTTGTTCTTCACCGTTGCCTTATTCAGCTCTCGGTAGTCTATGCACATCCTCATGCTTCCGTCCTTCTTCTTCACGAATAACACCGGAGCTCCCCAGGGTGATGAACTAGGTCGAATGAAACCGCTGTCCAACAGCTCCTGAAGTTGCGTCATGAGCTCCTTCATCTCCGTCGGTGCTAATCGGTAAGGTGCCTTTGCTATCGGTGTTGTTCCTGGTAATAAGTCTATACGAAACTCACTTGCCTATCAGGTGGTAATCCGGGAAGATCTTCGGGAAAGACTTCCGGATAATCGCACACAACCGGTATATTCTGCACCTCTTTCTTTTCCTTCTTAGCATCGATTACGAATGCCAAGTATGATGCACATCCTTTGGACAAACATTTCCTGGCTTTCATCAGGGAGATGATTCCAGAATTCACTCTGCGTTTGTCCCCGTACACCATAAATGATTCCTTTCCGGGTGGGTTTATCCTAACTATCTTCTTTCGGCATAATATCTCGGCATCGTTGGCGCTAAGCCAATCCATACCCAAAACGATGTCGAAACCGTTTAACTCTATGGGTAATAGTTCCTCATGGAATTCGTTTCCGTTTAGGTCAATGACGATGTTCCTAATACGATTACTAACAGGTACGAATTTGCCACTGGCAACTTCTACAATCAGGGCATTATCTAGTTTTTCTACAGGTAATGCTAATTTCGCACTAAATTTATGCGACACAAAGGAGTAATTGGCTCCGGAATCAAATAGTATATTTGCAGGCAAACCATTTACAAGAAAGGTACCTGAAGCGACGTCTGCTGCCTCATTCGCAGCCTCGAGCGTCATCTGAAAGGCTCTCGCTAGGGATGGCAAAAAAACCCGATTCCCGAATATTTCGGGTCGGGTCGGTCTCTCTTATCGGGTTTCGGGTCTTTATTGGGTATTTTATCCGGGTTCGGGGCAGGGAGTGGGTATGCGCGCCCCGACCCGCCCGCCCCGAATTGTATATATATATATATATGAAATTACATTGCTGCCCCTTGAACACATAACCCTAAAATCACGTTTCCACTCTCCAGTATCCTCCTTACACTTACACTTCTCTTCGTTCAATCATTCTTCTACTCCAGCCGACACACCCACAAAAATCGATACACCACAGCGAAGAGCGAAGAGCGACTCAGCGCAGCGATACACCAAAGGGGAGCAGCGAAGCAACGAAGCAGCGACTCAGCGACTCAGCAGCGAAGCAGCGACTCAGCAACACGCACGTCGCACAAGAGGTAATTTCGACTCAGCAGCGACTCTTCCGACTTCGATCGACGCCACGCACAAGAGGTAATTTTGATTCTTGAAATCCATTGAAATTTTGATTCTTGAAATCGATCACAACATGAACATTGAAATTTCGATTCTGGAAATCGATCACAGCTTGTAATTTGGTATGAACATTGAAATTTCAATTCTTGAAATCGATCACAGCTTGTAATTTCGATTCTTGAAATCCATATTAACATTAAAATCTGTTTGTGGTATTAATTTCGATTGCACCATTTGTAATATGTTTATTGATCATAGGTATTAATAGCTTAATAACTTATTGATCTTAGGTATTAATTTCGATCACAGCTTAATAGCTTATTCACCAAGTCTGATTTCTCTACACATGGTATATGTAATATGTTTATTGATATTTCATTTCCTTAGATTGCATCATTTGGGTTGAACTATGAATTTGTATCTAACTATCTTTGCTATTAGAATATAAAAGTATTTATTGGCTTCCATGAAATTTTTGGTCTAGATACTTGAATGATATTACAAATATAGATATAATAAAGATAAACAAACACCCGGGACTCGTTTAGCAATGTTATTATTAACCTTCTATTTGAATTTAAGTTTTGTTAAGATTAAATTTTTATTTGATATCCGGCTGTATTATTAGACATTGATTTGGATTCCTTTAATGAAGACTAAGATGTTGTCAACTTTGGGTTTTTGATACATTAGAATTGTTGAATATGATATGACATTGGTTATTTTTCAGGAAATATGAATTCAACCGATCAAAATCATGCTCCAACTGCAAGTAGTCAAGATGTGGGAGGTTCGGGTTCTAATCAACAAAATACCGATTCTGTGGATCAACAAGATGGGACAAATATTAATGATACAGTTTTTGATGAAGATGGAGATGAAGTTGTTGGTTCGAAAAGGGCAACGCGTTCACCGGCATGGCAACATTTTATAAAATTTAATTTGAATGGTGAAGTTAAAGCAAGATGTAAATATTGCTCTAAAGTGTTGGGTGCAGATAGCAAGAATGGCACAAAACATTTACTTGCACATCATAAGCGTTGTATACACAAACCTTTTACAGATATCCGTCAATCTATCTTGGTGCAAGAAAAAAAGAAAGTAGATGGTACTACAACGCATGTTTCAAATTATACATTTAATGCTGATACTTCTAGGAAGGATTTGGCTGAAATGATTATTTTGCATGAGTATCCGCTTTCAATTGTAGAACATCATGGATTTAGGAAGTTTGTGGGAGGTCTTCAACCTTTGTTTAAGGTTCCTTGTCGAAACACCATCAAGGAGGACATCAAAAGAATTTATGATTATGAAAGGGATAAAACTATGAGTTTGTTAGCAAAGAACAAAAGCAGAATTGCAGTTACTACTGATATGTGGACATCTAATCATCAAAAAAAAGGGTTTATGGCAATCACAACACATTTTGTAGATCAAAACTGGAACTTGCAAAGCAGAATTATGAGGTATATTATACTTATTTAACTACAATTTATACGTACTTATTATTTATATGTTAATATTAACATATATATATTTATATATTCTTAAACAGGTTTATTTACGTGCCTTGTCCACATACATCTGATGTTCTTGCCGACATACTTTATGCTACTTTGTGTGATTGGAATCTTGATAGGAAAGTGTCAACTCTTACTGTGGATAATTGCACCACAAATGATGCAATTATTAGGATGTTATTAGAGAAACTTCCTCTAAAATCACTAATGATGAATGGTGATTTGTTTCATATGCGTTGCTGCACACATATTCTCAATCTTATTGTCCAAGATGGCTTATCTCTCATTAAATTTGAGATTGAGAGAATCAGAGAGAGTGTTGCATTTTGGTCTGCATCACCAAAGAGGGAGCAAAATTTTGTGACAGCAGCAGAGCAGTTGGGAATACCATACTCAAAGAAGTTGATACTTGACTGCAAGACACGATGGAACTCTACATTCTTGATGTTGAGTGTTGCTATAAGCTACAAAGAGGTTTTCGATCGCGTGAAGACAAGAGACCCCAAGTATATATGTTTTCCTACAGACCAGGATTGGGAGTTGGCTAGTGAGATTTGTGAAAGATTACAGCTTTTTTATGAGGTGACTGATATGTTCTCTGGTTCAAAGTATCCTACAGCTAATGTTTTTTTTCCTTTGATATGTGAGATTGGATATTCTTTGCGTGAGTGGACGAAATCTCCTATTGAGGAGATTAAGGTGATGGCTAACCAAATGCTTTCTAAGTTCAATAAGTATTGGTCTGTAATTCATGGGATAATGGGAATGGCAGCAGTTTTAGATCCACGATACAAGTTAAAGTTTGTGGAGTTACTTTTGCCTGTGCTTTATGGAGAAGAAAAGGCAAAGATTGAATTTCAAATTTTGGAGGGGTTTGTCACAACTTTGTTTCAAGAGTACGAGTCAAGTAATGCATCTAAAAAAAGGAAGAGTGAAGGTATTGTATTCTTCTTATTGTTTATATAATAAATAGAACATTATCTTAAATTATTAACATTTTTATACTAAACATTACGTGTTTGTGGTGGTTCAGTTCCTGGTTCATCTTCATTTGGTTCTAGTATCTCTTCTGGTCATCGTGTTGGATTCAAAAAGCTCTTATCGGATATTGCTTCTATTACTAGAGATGATGATGAATCAGGAGGTATGAGTGAGTTGGATAACTACTTGAAGGAGAAATTGTTGCCTAAAGACATGGAACTTGATTTGTTGGCATGGTGGAAAACAAATGGGATTAAGTACCCGACACTACAAAGGATAGCTAAAGATATATTAGCTGTTCCTGTTTCCACTGTTGCCTCGGAATCAGCTTTCAGCACAAGTGGAAGATTAGTAAGTCCTCATCGTAGTCGACTTCATCCAAAGACATTGGAGGCTTTAATGTGTGCTCAAAGTTGGTTGTTGAATGAAATTCGAGGTAGTATACTATTTTATATTAATTATATGAAATTGTGAATTTTTTTTTGCATATTAATAATATTAATTTTACACAGCAACTTGTTCTGAAGAGACGGAGGCATATTGTCGTTCTGTTGAATTTGATTATGATGTGGAAGAGGTCAAACGAAACTCCTAAAAATATTAATTTTATATAGTTTCCATGATTTGGTTTGATTTTGAGTTTGTTTAATATTTTGTAGGAAAACACTAAAGAAAGCGGGACAACAAGTTTGGATGATTTTGTTTGATTTTGAGTTTGTAACTTTGTTTTAATGTTAAGTTGTAATGTATTATTGTGATGAATTAGTTTTTAATGTTGTGTACTTGGGTGTTTTGGTTGATTGGTTGATGTTACAATATTAGACTATTAGTAATTTCTATTTGGTTAAATGATTTAAGAACTTATTTGGTATTTTAAGTTTATGCATCGTCTTAATTTATCATTTTGTATTTATAGTTTTTCTTATGTTTTTTTCTGCCATATTTCGGGTTTTAGGGTCGGGTTTTCGGGTAATTATCGGGTTTCGGGTTTAGGGTCGGGTTCGGGGAGAGTTTTAGCCCCGATAAGAAACCCGTCGGGTATCGGGTCGGGTTCGGGCACATATGTAGATATCGGGTTCGGGTTTGGGAACTCATGCCCCGCCCCGAACCCGCCCCGTTGCCATTCCTAGCTCTCGCCTTTGGCTTTGGTGGTATGTTGGGCCTTCCCGCATCTTTCTTCCTTGGGCAATCCTTAGCAATATGCCCTTCTTCACGACACTCGTAGCACACCTTCTTGTTGGTGGTGCACTCATTGGCATAGTGCCCTGTTTTCCCACACTTGTAGCAGGTTACTTCATCGCCACATTTTCCCGAGTGCTTCTTCTTGCACTTCTCGCACCATTTAAATTCGTTTCCTCCCCCGAATTTTTTTGAACCGAACTTGCTCTTCTTTTTGTTGGGTTTAGCAGACCCTTCAAATTTCCTCTTCTCGCCAACCTCGATTTTGCTGGCAGCTCTTCCCTTAATCATGTCCTCCACAGACTTGGCAGCCCAGATAGCTGCCTCCAAAGTAGGTGCCTGACGTACTGGCACCGCATATTCCCATGGAAGTCCCTTTGCGTACTTATCAATTTTCGTCAGCTCATCCGGAACAAGACGCAAGGCAAACTCCATCTTTTCTGTGAAGTTGTTCGTGTATTCATCGATTGACATGCTTCCCTTCTTCAGGGTTAGAAACTGGTTCTCTAACTCTAGCAGGTTTTGAGCCGAGCAGTATTTTCTTTTGAATTGCACCAGAAAGTATGCCCATGTCAGTTGCAGGGGCTTGTTGGGGCTTAAAGTCTTCCCCAAGGTATTCCACCAACATACAGCGCCTCCTCGAAACTGACGTACTGCAAATGTGGTTTGTAGCTTTCCTCTGCAACCGCACGTCATGAAAGCTAACTCCATCTCCGAGATCCAATCCATGACCCCGATTGGATCCTCTTTTCCCGTGAAAGTTGATGGCTTGCAAGTCAGAAAATCCTTGTACTTGTATCCATTCCTCTCGACTTCGTCACCTTGGTTGTTTTGTTGAACTATTGGTGGGTTGGCTTGACCAACGGTTCCACTGTAGTCTCCTTCCTCAGTCTGCCCTTCGTTCAACTCGGGCTGTTCGATTTGAATAGTCGCTTCCTCTCGATTTTGCTGGAGCAAACGCCTGGTTTCCTCCATTTGACGATCCAACATTGCCTGGATCATCGCTTGCACTCCGACCATCGTTATTGGTCCGGCAGCGGCTTCCACAACTGGTATTTGCTCGATCACGGGGGGTTGGTGTCCGTTTCCATTTGCGTTTACGTTTCCGCTACGGGTCCTTACCATCTTGATCTATACACCGAATAAGGTGAATTCAGATCTTTATTTAGGAGAGACGTTTTAAATCGTCCTTATCACTCCGAAACGTTTACATGCTAGTTCTAATAGCGTAGTCGTATGTTTAGAATCCTAAACACATAAGGTTTCCAGATCCGGTTGGCAACAGACCATAGATCCGAACAAAATAACAGCATATCATGCATAAAGCATTTAGCACATAAAAACATTCTAGGCACAATTCCTAAAATAAACTAGTGCTCACACCTCACAATCATCGCTTAGCATTCTATGTTTAAGTCTAGAAATCCTACAAATTCCTAGTTCGCTTAAACTAATGCTCTGATACCAACTGTGACATCCCCAAAATCACGGCCAGAAAAGACCGGTTTGTTTATGCTTTGTTTAAAAATCAGAGTAACATTTTAAATAAAAGTGTTGCGGAATTTGTCCCAAAACAATAATATGATAAAGATTTATCAAAAGCATTTCCATAGAAATGTATTTCATTAAAAGACTCGGGATGTCATGTTCGTACAGATCAAAAGCATAAACAGTACAATACAAGCCTTACTACATTATTTCATATCTACAGGCCTATATCCGTAATCCCTCGTCCAAACATCATATATATGCTCAAGCGCCACTACCTGTAATACATAAAACTGAGTGGGTCAGGCTTGGGAGCCTGGTGAGCACATAGGGTTTTCAACCCACAATAAATAGTTTATTAATTTCATCAATCAACAATAACCCGATTACCCGTTCCGTTATCCTCACTTTACGTCCCTAAACACCTATCATAAGGGACCTAGCCTAAGGATCATCATCGGGACGGACACTGCTACTAAGGGGATTCCTCAGCAATAAATGTCCTAATAGGCAACCATGTGGGGGATGGAGTACATCTGGTGAGCACACAGTTCAAATAAACACACAGTTCAAATAAACACCTACAGGTTGCGAGCCTGCTAGTGTTCCACTGGACTGTCTAGAATAGTCCGTGGTCGTCATCTATACTCCGCTAGATGACTGGATCATCAATAACATCTATAACGAGGCCTCTCATTATTTTATTTTGTCACCCAGCAACTATTACATCTACCCATGTTTTACCCAACACATTTTGTAGATATAAAATACATATACAGTTTAAATCTTTGAAAACATGTATAAAACGTTCATCCAGCATAGATAGCAAGTATTCAGATAATATGCACAAATAGCACGTAATTTATATTAAATACTTCATATCTATGTGTAAGTTGAAAGTAAATATGCACTCACCTGAAAAGGTGGTGATTCCGAACTCAGACAGCGCTTCGCTTCTTAAAAAGAATTTTCTTCGACGAAACCTAGTATTATTACCACTAGAGTTTAGTTTATTATTCGTCGAGACTAATTAATAGTCTAGCTATTATTATTATTATTATTATTATATAAGCGTCAAAAAAATACTTATATAACCCATAATAATAGCCCAAGTATTTATTATAAGTTCCTAATAACGTTACTATAATTAAATAAAAGCTATATTAAAAATAGCGTAGGCGTAGCTCACTTACAGCGGGTTTTATAGAAAACCGGGCTTTGCTTGGAGCAGCGTTCCCGAGCCGAAAATCTCTTCTTCTCGGAGCCTTCGAGCACTCCGGGGCTTCCGCCTCGTGCTAGGGAGGTTCCCTAGGCTTTTCGGGGATTTCGGGGCTAGAGAGAGGTTCTAGAGAGAGAGAGAGTAAAGAGAAGAAAGAATGGGAAAGGTGTGAAGAAAATGAGGGTGGGAGAGGTGGTATTTATAGGGTGAAATGTGGCTGAACTTGGTGCCACATGTCACCATCTGGTGGCAAGCCTTGGGGAGAAAGCAATGGCCAAGATTGTACCACATCACCCATTTTCGCACAGCACGCTTCCGACTTCTAAAATCCGTAACTTTCACATACGACCTCCGTTTTTGACGTTCTTTATATCCACGCGTAGGTAATAATAAGATCTACAACTTTCATTTTGACACCGTCAGCTAATTCTCGACCGATCTTAAATTTAACAGTACAAGGAGATTATACTGTTAAACGTCTGCGTAAAATTAATAACTTCTACATACGGACTCTGTTTTTGTCTGTCTTTTTACCGTTGATTTCCTATTAATGAGATCTTCAACTCTCATTTACGTTGCGTAAGCCAAAAACCGCTCGAACTAAAATTCGAGTTTCAGGTCGTGCACTGCTAAGCCGAATCTTAGAAAAATCATAACTTCTTCATACGAAGTCAGATTTGGGCGTTCTTTTTATCGATGTTCTTAGTTTAACATATTCTACGACTTTTGTTTAGATTGATAAGGCTAAAAAGTGTTCTATCGTAAATTCACTATTTACGTCTCCCGGTGCCGTGCCGGTTTTGCCGTAAAACTTCGGCGGGCCATAACTTCTTCGTTATAGCTCGGATTTCGGCATTCTTTATATGTACGGAAACCTTGAGACGTATTCTACAACTTTATGTAGAGATATCGGGATTATATCACACTTTAATTTTGACGCTCATTTTTATTCTTTATTAATTATACATTTATAATTAAATAATAAACACATAAACACACATAATTCACATAATACTCAAATATTTCATATTTATTACTTCAAAAAGAGTTACAATAGTTGACCTAGACTATTACATTGACAAAAATGCTTAGCCCTGAAAACCCGGGCGTTACAATGGGCGTACACTAGGTATGCATGATGTACACTTTTGCATGTGCGCATCATGATGATCCCTACGTATGCTGGGAACACCCATGCCTACACATGGCGTACTCAAGCAGGGGAAAACCCTAATTTTTAGGGTTTGCAACATATTTAAACTCATTAAGTGCCCAAGACCATCACCTTTTCAACCTTCGTTGCCTCCTAAGTCATATCTCAAAAGCCTAGTCCAACTTTCCTAAAGTGTGAGCTTGTGTGTGTGTTTGGTGTGTGTAGTTCTTAGAGAAGAAGAATAAGAGTTGGGAAGAAGCATTGGATCAGGAAGAGCTTGTAGATCTAGAGGTTTCTCATCATTTATAGCATATTGAAGGTAAAAAGCTTCTACCTTGATGACTCCATGTGTTAGTTGTAGTTTAGGGCTTATTTCTTCATAAAATGATCCTTTAAGTTGTTCTTAAGAGTATGAGCTACTACAGAAGGTTATTATGTTGGATCCTAGTGTTTTTAACGTCCCTTGAGCATAAAAATGGAGTCTCGATGGATTAAGTTCAATCATACAAAGATTGAAGGTGGTTTCATGAAGATATTATGGTTAAATGCAAAATTTGTCGCATTAAGACATGAAAAAGCATAAAGTTTGCAACTTTATGGCTTAATGCACTTTAATAAGTCTAGATTTAAGATTGGACGTTGGGTCTTAACTAATTAAGACCTTAGATTGATATTTTGTCTAGCTGCGTATAAGACATATTATAGCATAAATCATTTAGCACATAAAAGCAATTTAGGCATCTTCCCTAAAATATATTAGACACACTCCTCACGATAAGCGTTTAGCATTCTAAGTTTAAGTCCATAAATA